ACGTGACATATAGGTTATCGTGACGATGGTGTGATATTACACTTCACCCAAATTGTGTGATATGTGTCACAGGGATGATTTTTCTCTAATTTTATATTGTCATCATTACAGATGGTTCATGGTGCAAGCGTCAATTAGCAATGTTGCAAATGAGCAACATCCAACGTTTTGTTGGAGTTCAAAAACAGACAGAGGACTAGTAGTATTTAGAAAACGCTTTGAATCACAGGCACATCAATGCGTCCCAGACCTTCTACATTGGAAGTTTTGCCATCGATAATATCGTTATAAATATCGCTTCACAATACCAAAGTTTTCTAGCAGACTCAAGAACTATTTAAGTGTGTGCTCATTCAAAGTTCGTTTTTAAATTATGAACAATTTTTATCGTTATTTTCTATTGAGATAAGGTATTTCGGGTTTTTTCTTCTTTCTTTTGAAAAAAACCCAAATTGTTTAAGAATCACAATAACGGCAATCATAGTTTGAAATACTGCATGAAAATAACTTTTATTCTAATTTCTTTTAAATTAATGAGTGTTATTGTTCATGTCTAAAACCCATATTGATTGTAATGAACGATACTTTTATATTTATTGTTATTACAAACACAAATTTTTTCAGATCACGTAACCACAATATCTTTCTGTAATGATGCCACACTGCTGTGATTGATTTTCCTTTCTGATGATATTGACATTGTAATAGAATATTAGTTCTCACATACGAATATATTGTATGTTTAATTAAATTTCCCACTCTTGTAAATTGACTAAAAGATTACTAAACAATGGAATACCCACCACCCGCATTGCAATAACTCGCTCGAAGGCTTTGGGCTTCAATTTACTTCACAATTTAAATAACTGAAATACTTTTTTATTAATTATGCTGCATCCGATCTGTTTGGAACTCCAGACGTCCCCAGGTGGAATACCAACAGGTAGCTTACGAATTCAATTACGGCGACATGTTTGACAAGTATCATACAAATGCGTTGTTGAATTGTTCACAGCAGATTGCCGGACAATCGAACAAGTATTTCCTTCATCTCTCTCTATTGTGGATAAAAATAGTTTAGTCTTTTGTAATGTCTCTGTCATTCATCTATTTCTGTTGTGAAAATTCTTTTGTTTCGTGCTTCAGTATACTTCATAAATCAAAGTCTCACCATTACAGCCGAGTACAGACATCGGCCATTGTGTATCTGATCCCCGTTGTGTGGACGTAAGAATGTGTTAGTCTACAGTAAACCGCTCCGTTATGATACGTTCCGTTTACTCATGCCATCTTAACAATCTCTTGGACTCAATTTATGAATAATTTCTACCTCTTTGTGTTTTCTATTGCAGGCTAACAAAAGGATTCAATGTTCTGCTTTCTGAATCTCTCGAAACGTCAACTTCCATTCTTGCTTACATGACAGATCACGTTTGGTTAGGTCGTGAAAGGACATTGAATGAAAAAAACTTCTATAATCTTATCTATTTGTATTAAATAAAATATGATAAACTGCAAATCGATTCAGTTGCTTTATGTAAAAATGACTTATAAGTAATGTCATGTTAGTCAACGTGACGCAACACAGGTGGAAGTTAATTTCACAGTAGTGACGACACGAATTCATACAAATTATTTCAAAGTATACAAAGGGACAGCATTAACAGAATTAGGATTGTATTATATTGTTGTCAAACACTTTATAAAACATGCGTACACATCAATGTGTCTCCAATACGTGTAGTGATATAACACGTCCCGCTGACTGTAATAAGGAATAAAAAGGACAAGATTTTAACTTTGTGTAGATTTTTAATTTCGTTAAAGTACACAAGTATGCAACGTCGTACCCCAACTCAATTAATTCAACGAATCTTACAACAATGAAGTTTGAATTTACCGTGCTGACAATGACCAGAAAACTTCATTTTTAACACTAATCAATGTGATCACTGCAGAAATATAGGATCTTAAATGAGTTTTCATTTCATATGAGATTTTATGAAACGAATCTTAGGAGTTTTTATTTTTGCGAGCCTTGGCGAGATAAGATACGTTTTATCACATAACTCGGAAAACTTTGACAGGTTTCAAAGCCAAAATGTAGAGGGCTTTATCAAACGGAGACAGCCATTTTGTTGCGCCATTCACAATCTATGACGTCACGTCATTGTCCATATTATGACGTCACAATCAATTTCTGACTGGCACAGCCAATGAAAAACGCTCCAGGGTATATTTCACAAGTGACATATGTAAAAATATGACACGGGCGAAATAACTGGATAACAGGCCGATTATGTGATAATTTACATTATGTAATATACTGTACTCAAAATCTGGATTTTTTTTGCGAATAAGGCCTTCTAGATCTTTTAAGATAATGTACATACCATTTACCATTGACAGTATATGGTTATTAACATGAGTTCATTGCGTATAACGCTCTCACACAACATTATGTGACAATACACGGTAAACTGGAGCCAAAGGTGAGTGCAGATAATTACATTACATACACACTGATGCGTGTCCAGCAAATCAAGCCCTGACACATTACTATACTTCTGTATCGTGATATTCAGCAAAACAATTAAGTGCACAATATATTTGTATGCAAGTCGCAAATAAATAGATCTTTATAAATAAATAACATAGACAAAATATAAACAATGAAAATGATCGTGCATGAAACATACTAATTATCTCATAACATAGATCGTTAATACATAACGCCTTACATACCTGTAAACAATGGAATATACAGGTAGGTACACAGCTGAACAAAAAAGTTGATGTTTATATGATTTTCGTCGCATGATCCTAACGATAAATTATGAAGTATATTGAACATAATATAGAAACTGCTATGTACAGGCCCATCTTTATCTTGATATCTGTTTATTTTAATTACTGTGCAATCACCCTCACCTAGTTTAACCAAATTAATATGTGTTTTCACCAATATCCAGTTTATCTTAACTCCTGTGTTATAGGTGTTTCTATTAGTGTATCTAAAAATGAAATTAGAAACAAAAGGTACATTTGATTCAAATTACCTCAACAAAGGTTGCACAACAATATTTCCATAAATTCGCTTTGAGGAAATTTAACAACACTTTCAGCTTAACAAGCTTTGAACAGGACGATCATGTTATTTTCTTGGAAGTAGATTATAAGAAGTCCTTAAAATGGCATGCAGCAGACAGACCTTAACGTACTAACTGTACCAACACTGGCTGTGTGAGATAGGTAGCTCGGATGTGAATGAAACTTCCGAATACATAACCCACACTTTCATGTTTACACTTTTCTGTTAAACTTCACAAGGACATTCGAATGTTTAATTAATTAACTGACCTAGTTTAAATTTAGGGTAGTATATTGTTTTACGGCCAATTGACATTTGAAGTCATTTTGGGCCACAGCAGTGTATGGAACTATGAACATCCTGATTCACATAACGTCTACCGGGAAAGTCCCACAGTGTTACCTACGCTGTATCTATAATGATAAAATTCACATTTTCTGAAAACTTATTGGCTGGTACGTGGTTATCAGTGGGTCAATATTTAAGTGATTCGACTAGAAGTTACTATTTCAGGTTAATATTTTCATGAGGTGATAAATATTAGATGATACAGATTTTCTTATTTTCCCATTAATTGGATCATATTTACGTATGTCTTTGATTTTTTATACTTACTCGGTGCAAATGCAGTATTTTTTCCTAGCGATTTCATACGTTCAATTAAGCATTGAACTGTTTTTGTATGGTATTTATGATCTGTTTGAATGACACAGCTTTGCAAGCAAACAACATAATGCGCGCTAGCGCATTATGATTTATTTGCTTGCAAAGCTGTGTCATTCAAATAGATCATAAATACCATACAAAAACAGTTCAATACTTATATTTACGTTTTCTTCGCCTCTTATGTTCTTTTTTACCTTATAATTTATATTTACAATTAAAAATGCCCGCCTTATCGACAGTCCACACGATTTCGTTCAATAGTTTGAACAGCGTATTGTCACGTGCTGATTGGCAAACAAAGTAGTACTTTGAAATTTTAACAAACTCATCAATTTTATTCCACAATTCAGTATCAATACAATTGCGTATGATATGTCTATAGGGTGATTTAAGTTTATCATTAGAACTCTGAGCTGAAAGTTAGACTTGAAATTGTTTCGATTTTTCCCCGTAACAAATTTCGCGCATGGACAAATACAGTAAACACCGTAAATCCGACCTTGCCCTCCACGAGGGAGTTATTTTTGGAAGTTAATTCGAACTTTTCTCTAAATGCTCATTTTGTGAAGAATCCAGGCGTGAATGTATTTGTTCATTGTATGGGAACCTGACAACAGTCGGTAGATTCTATAAGAGCCTCGTTATTTGACATGACGTCAGAAACTGAGGAATGGTGGATGCGAGACGCGTGAAACTGATAGCGTTTGAAGCGAGTGATCTTGCGACGGAGCACAGGTTCGTTACAAATGTCTGAAATGTTTATGTGTACTGTGACTCATATCAGTAGGTCTGTAACATATGTTTCAGTAGGTCTATAGAATATGTGTATTTCAGACATTTGTAACGAACCCCTGTTGATCAGTGCAGTATAACAGACGATATTTCTGATAAATTGCATGAGCGTTAAAATTGTTTCCATTGCCGGCATTGGTGATTTCAACCGATTTGCATTTTGTACGATATTGCAGACATTGGTCTTGTTTTCATTGTTATAAAAGTGTTTTTTATTTCATTTTTTATTTTGCACATAAATTTACAATGCCAAACGATATTTCAGCAGCCGTCATGTTTATTTATATTGGATATTGTACTTCCGGTCAGTGTTGTATTAATACGCCTAGAATTGTGTCTCGTGATGCATGGTAATTAAAGTCCCATCAACGACACAGCTTTTAAAGAGGCTCTGTAGAGACAATGCCATGCAAATGTAAATATTCTTGTTGAATGATAAAAACATAATGTAGTATTTAACGGAGGATTTTATTCTGGTGAATATGTGACCGATTGTATTATGTCATACGGCCATGTCATAGATATGGTAATACACACGTGTAATAAGACCTAAAGGTGATGCGATTGGTAAACAATTGTTAACTTGATGAACTGCCTTTTTTTCTGATAAGCTTTTATGTTTTTGCAATTGCATAAAACTGTTCATTATTTTAAAAAAAACCACAATATTTTGCACGACAATAGTATGATTGATTTTAACCAATATCGAGTCAGCGAATAACACACAATTGTGTTCAAATTATAAATGTTATGTGATAAATAGAATCTTACATTCGTGTCCATGTCAAATTGAATTTATTAAACTCGTTAATATCAAATTATTGAATTCCTTTAATAACTTCAATATGACATGGAAGCTCATGTAAGACCTCTATATATGCACCTGAAACATTATATTAACCCCGATTTTATTTCGGTCAATATCGTTATCTCAGGTTCAAATAACTACATAATTATATGCCTAAACAAAAGTCTATAATTGATCAATATTCGCTGTCATGTTGAATTCAAACTCATTATAGGATAATGTCCATTGTTAAACTGCGACTGTTTTGTGGTACACAACTATTAAATCAAGAACTCCTATCCGTAATATTCTTACAACATCAATAAATATAAACCTTATGAATGGTCCCCCTCAGTCTAGACACATACTAAGGAGTCCAGTATATACGCTATATAGTCGTTAGCTTGGTGTTTGATATTGCACTCCGTTACATACATACGTGTAAGATTTGTATTATTTACTAAATTCTGTAGGTATTTTCATGGCTGAAACTTATATGACTTGCACTTATCTTTAGCAAAGGTTTATTATAAATATAACATGCTTATGAAACATAAATACATTTTTGTTACAGCGTCTTACAAACACGAAAATGCCTAGACATATCACAGACTGTCACAAACAACACATCCCAATGAAATGGCCATATGTAGCACCATTCGGCTAGATGAATCCCTTTAAAATCATCTCTCGGACACAAACCAGTACCTCAATAACACTAGGTATAATATATCCATCTATTGGATAACATTAGCACTTAATACCAGGTGTACTAGACCGAGATTCACGTTTGTACAATAGATGAAATCTACCAGAAATCTACATCTATAATCCATGAACAATGCGATACAGAAGATATTCACGATTTAGTGACAGCCATATTTCATCGCAATATTCCACGACAATTTCGCTATCACATTCAACGATGACAGGGACTGTCCGGTTATTTACCAGATGGTTCGTGGTACTGTCATCACAACTACGATCATCGTTCCGTAAAAGACACATGACCTCAGTCGCCTACAGAACTGATTGTACCTGTAAGTCCCCGCTGGTGCCTCCGAGAATCAGAATAGGAAAGGGATGTTGCAGGTTGAACAAAATTGTCTCCGGTATAACGCGAGAATCTCGTACCGTCTCGTCTCAAACTCCCCCTTGTCAAAGAACTCCGGTCCTTTTCCATGGATGTTCGTGTGCGATCCTGCAGTAATTCCGGAGAACTTTGCGGGAGAAACACATTGACAAATACTTTACGTTTCTGATGTTCGGAAGATTCTAATCTGAATGTTTGGCTCTTAGCAAGTACATTGTCCGAATCAGTCATCACAGATCTTTCTCCACACCGGTACACCGTTCGATTTCTACTGTTAGCAGAGGAAGAGTTATCCGAAAAGCTGCCGTGTGTAAGCTCCCTATCGGGTGTCGATGGGGGAGCTACAAGTATGTCGTCCTCTTTCACAGGTTCACTATTTGTTTCGGCAATTGTCGATTGGGTCATGCTATCAGAATTGTTACTTACATCCACAGATCGACTGAACAGGTTATCCGGTAGTTTCAGATCAACGGAAGAATCAGTTCGAACTCCATCTGAACGGACCCCGTTTTTGGATACGGATTTACCCACCAACCAAGCGTCCTTGTGACTCTTTACAAGTTGCCACTCGTCTTTCGTAGTTACTTGTTGAGTCTCGTCCTTCAAAACATCTCCTCTATTGCGGTAAATTCCTTCGATAATGTCTTTTTCTCCCTTTGTCAATCCTGCCTTGTCTCTGAGAAACATCCTTCCTGGACTCACACGGACACCATTGGAACACCAAGGCGTCCTGCCACGGAACTTGTCGGTCCCATTCTTTTGTACGGTGGCTAGGTCTCTGTAATACTTTGACACAGAAACACAGTCCCCTAGGTCCTCTGACCAATCATAGAACCTGGCGATGCTGACGTGTGAACGGGGCATGGCGGTGGTATCCGGCTTACAGCTTGCTGACCGTATCCGAGGGGACGGGGCAAATCTGTGATCAGTGTAAGACGTCTGCGGGCGCCTGCTCAGAAAGCCACTGAAACGAGAAAAAAACAGCACTGAAATGTTGGATAAGATAAAACACAATCACCTGCTGATATCAGCTGTGATCCTGGAGTGTATTTTGTCAATATGATAAAAATGTCCATCGTAGAAAACAACGGTTCACTCGTGAAAACCTGCTTACTGTCGCCTTGTCTTGCAATTGATTCAACGCTAGTTGCTCTGTCATTTACACAATTTAGTAAACCAATTGTCTTCATTGACTCAGCCTTTATCAGAATGTATCATACATACCATATTTACCAAGAGCTCTATCCGAAATCAATGCTACTAAGTATCTCTGCCTGGGATAGAATACCACTATTAATGACATGTGAATCAGCACGTTAAAATGGCACACGGCAAACGCTCTCATCTGACTTGTTTACACTCTTTACTGTAATCAATAGTAAATCTATCTGACCATCCGACTAGTGTATGCCACGGTGTGTATTGCCTTTATTTACACCCCTGTCCTGATCATCACGTCGATCCGTGGGGTTTTAATAGAGTTATCTGCGCTGTCAGAAACCGTCTAAACAAACAAGAGTGTTAGATTTATGGAATTATAGATACTGCCATATATGATCCCACCTATATACTCAAGTATTTTATCATGTTTGAGTGGAGATTTACTTATCACATCACAAGTCAAAAAGTGTAACTTCAACCCATATCGACAGCAACTTGTGGTCTGATTACTTTGATCTGGATTATACATCATCAAACAAAGAGATCTAATAATTTCAACACCGTCTCATTAAGATATTATTCATTAGCCCTTTGTGTTGTCATAGCATGTCAAGATATAATGTAAATATGAAAGCAGAAAAATCACCACGTGATACACGTCTTTTTTTATTAGTACATGAACCAGAGTCGACAAAACATATTCACTGTATCATTTTATATTGGCCCCATCACTTTATTGGAACTGTATATCGCAAAACTATGTAAGATTTAAAAGCTAACATCAGCAGATTACATGATATAAGCCCATGCCGATCATATCTCATACCATGCTCGATCAAGAGATACAGTGTTTTCAAAGATAAAGAACATCTGGGCACTTTAAGGTAATTTTATGATATTTACACCTGTTTGATGGATGGTTTATTTGAACTACCCCCGACGGAACACTGAACATCTCTACATTGACGGTATGTGCAGACTTAAATGATAATCTTCCGAGGGCATAGTTCTTATAAGGTCATGACCACAGGATATTTAAATGTGTATACCTCCCTACCTGTTAATTGCTCTCATCGATAGAAACACATAGGACTTGGAGTTGTCGTGATGAGATGATATCTATTTCAAAATGTTCGCCTGATCTGTTGTTATCTGCCGATCTTTTAATAAGTTCACACCGTAGTGCAATATCTTTCAATACACACTAAGATGTAGCATAATACCTGTCAGAGGTGGGAGTTATAGTGTAGCGTCATTCCTGTGTCTGAACTGACGGGTTGGAACTCCACCGGGGTACATACCTGTACCAGGTGTAGATAGTTATAGTGTAACGTCATTCCTGTGTCTCACGTGACATGGTAAGGCTGCCACTAAGGTGGAAACCTGTATCAGGTGTGGATAGTTTTAATGTAATACCTGTACCGGAGGAGGGGAAGTATAGTTAGGCGTCAGTCCTGTGTCTGATGTGAAGGGTTATATATTTAAGGTTCGATTATAGTGTTTACCTTAACCAGGTTTGGACACATTCCCTATAACTGTTTGGTATGGCTTACTATCATTGGTCATTGTGATTGTATATTGGTACAGAATACTATGGGTTTTTCAAGAGTTATTGTTTTCTTTCCTGACCAGATAATAGTTCGTTGAGCTACAGCAAAACAACAATAGAGTATTATGATCTGGGGTATTTTAAGTTAGCATTTTTATTGAAATAATAGCTTTCACAAAAAAAGGACACTTCTTTTCATCTTACACGTCAAAAGAATTAAAACGGAAGACTAATCCTTTGTATTAGTTTACTTGTACACACGGAAGGCTTTTCAACTGGAATATGCATTTAACATTATCAAATTACAGTCTAATAACTTTTCAGGTTTTTAAAATTCATTTTTCAATGTCAATGAAATTCTAAAGAATATGCGTAGCATATACCCCTTCGGCAATATTATTTAAACATCTTGTATACCCAACATTGCCATACAGTGGGTTGATATTATCTATTGTCATACAGTGGGTTGATATTATCTATTTTCACCTTGTTATGAGTAGATAGTTTTAGAAAACTTTAAATTCATTTACTATTTAAAAAAATGAATTACAGTGATTTTACGACAAATTTATATGTAAAAAAACAGTATCACCAACTTTTTAAACAAATGGAATATTTTCTTTTCTAAATAACAATCGACAATATGTTTCACCATTTAAAGATCAGGATATTGTTCGCATCCAGTGGCTCCAATTCAAAAGTCATTATGTCGAAGAACTTATAATTTATCACGAACTCAACTTGTCAATCAGGCGGGTCTAACTTTTGTTATAGGCTACCTCAAAAGAAGAGAGGTAAGATTGTAAATCAAAATGATTTATATATCTGTCTGGTAACAGCTACGACTGGTTACGATGTCTGGTACATACACATGTCTACTTACCCACTCGGTGATCAGTGGAGTCAATACAATCAATACACCCAAGTGATTTTTGAAGTGAGTAAATCAATATCGTAAAACGATCTTACAGATAAATCGATTAACGAACTTCAGACTTGATGTAATATTGTATATCATTATATAGTATGATATCATTGGGAAATGACAATATACAATACAGGGAGAGTGTCATAGACTTTTCTATACGCTAGTAAACATTTAAGTAAAGACAGGTAAATGGTCATATGAACAGTTTTGTGCTCGTCTAAGCTTAACTGTGTGACGTTGATACATCATATGATCATTTTTATATTGTGTTAACATTTAGTAAGAGACGGTCAAATTTCATATGAACGTATATATGATCATGTATACATATTATATAAAATGACGTTAAATGTCGCATGAACATCTTTATATTTGTGTAAACATTTATCTGAAGACAGAAAATATAAGAACATATAGATTAAGATGAAAACAAATATGTATATTTTACAGTAATCTATATGAGAGGAATGATGATTCAATGTAGTGTCATATATTTAAAAAAAAATATGTATGCATTGTGTTGATATCATCATCATCATCATCATCATCATCATCATCATTTTAGTTAATATCTAGATATTATACAATAGTATACCATAGCGTAACACTACAGTGAATGTCGACACCCATTTTAACGTGAAAGTTTGTTTTTGCTAAGGATATCCGTCAAACACATAGGGTAAATCAACAACTGAATGAAACAGTTGTTATGACATTGTTTCTTTTACACAGAGAGATAAATCATGTGACAGAGTATTGTACTAAGAGCAGTATAAACAGAGTTTTACTGAGAGTTGTACGGTGTACAATATGTTCAAAGTTTATTTTAAGTTATTTACAATAGATTTGTACATTATGTTTATTGATGGGACGTATTATGACAAAATATATATGCTTTTCCAATTATATTGTTACAACAAATGTGTGTATTCAACTATGTAAATATGTTCCATAATATGTTACCGTCAGGTTAATTGATGATGTTTTAAATCATTGTCTATGTATTTTCAAATCATTTTTCTGTTTGTATGTAAACTTCATTATTGGGGGCTATAAGAGAAATAAAGATACAATTGAAGTCAGATGTGTATGAACAGTTTACGTTCCTGTTATGTTTTATCATCAAAAAGAACATATTCATCACTAGTGACAAACGTTCTGCTAGAAATCGAAACAGATAACATACCTGATAATAAATATAGCTAACACTTTAAGTCTTATTAAGAAATAAAATGTGTATGAATTTCCTTCTGTAACTAAATATTTAACTACAAGTATCTTGTCTCAAAATACACTTAATTTTATAAGAATACTTTATTGAAAAAAAACCACCATGGTACATGATTGACATTAATCACCATGGCGTATTAAGCCTCAGATATATCCATCATCTATAATCGTATGACGCAAACTGTCAAGTTCAAATGCTATCAGTGTTGTGTTGTTCTCTTGTCGAGAAACGTCCTATGGTACCGCCGGAGGTGGCACTAGTTGGCGCGGTCTCAACAACCTACATACCTACTGTGGACGGAGCCCATTCAAACATTATCAGGACAAGCAGCGAAATTACACTTGCATTAAGTAACACTGACACTAGTCAAGAATGTAGTTTGATCAATCATAAACAGAACGGTACTTAATTAGCAACACAGATGACGCATGAGCTTATTATTGGACAACAATCCTCTGTCGGCTAACGGATGCCTAACATTTAAATCGAAGTAATGCATGCGCGACACGGGCGTACAACTACTGGGTTTATGTACTTTCCAACCTTGATGTGATTAATTTTCCAATCTTGAACACACCTATGAGTTATATAAACACATTTGATATTATGTATTGGACATTGAAATTAACTGTACATGGAATGCTGATTTCGATACTAGTGTTGTTTGCTACTTAGAAGGATAGTTCTCACAAGCAAATTACATAATAGAAATGAGATTGGTATGCTCGATTGAATAACAGGTTAGAGCAGAAAATAATGTTCTGAATTCATCATAGGCTTGGTCCGATATGGCAGAAACTGAAACGTGCATATAAAAAGAAAAAATGTTGGACTAAACGCAGAAGCAGTATTTGGTGTATTGTATACTCACCTTCCCGGTAAGTGTTGGGACGGCGGGTAAACGACGACTAGGGCAAGTGTACAGTAAGTGATGCTTACAACACGTATCTAATCAACCAGTATAAACATCGTTACAGTTCCATTGTAAACAATGTTTGATTCACAACATTGTATCAAATGAATTTTCTACAGATACCTGACTGGCTAAAGTTTCAGTCCAAGAATGACTTAGTCTGGTGTATAGGAGTAAAGGAG